AGGAGTCCTCCAGGACTCACAGAGCAGGTGGCAGCCATGGCTAAGAAGACCTTTGCTGAAGTTTGTGTTGTGGGACAGTTATGCCATTTCCTGTATAGGAAGACTCTCTGCTTGGTCAGTCATGTCCTAGTCAACTCCTGTTTAGAAGATTACATAGCATTGTATATGGGGCTACCCTTGAGAAATATCCAGAAGTTTGAGCTACTGTGCATGAGCAAGTTTGGATGCCCAAAGAAGGATGTATCTAATACTTTTGCTTCATGAATTGTATTAGGTGCCAGGTTGCTTCCAATACAGTTGAAGATATGTCAGTCAATTAAAGAACTTTCAGTATCCCCACCCCCACCCCAAAGGTGAGGTAGGTCAGGATTATCCTGGCCGCCTGAAAAAGAGTTAAAACATTGCTCTGTGGGGGACCCAGAGGAACACAGGGCTGGCTGGTGCCCTGAAAGCCCTCCCTTTTATTCATTTCAAAGATGTTTTATCACCCTTGCCTCTTTAACTTTGTTAACGTTTATATATTTTTATATATTAATACTTTGTTGCACACCATCTGAGAAAGATGGGTGGCTTAAAAATGTGAAAATTAAAAATAAAATTTAAAACAAACATTATCAATCCATGCACTGCCTCTACAAAATTACTACAGGTGTGGTCTTTGTGCTATTGCAATTTGTCTTTCTAAATTACTGAATAGTTTAAAAAACATGTATTGGACTGGAACAAACATGAGCCTAAGTACATTTAACAAAAATATTTTTGAGTAAATGCTGTTTTGTATACAACACATTTTATCAAAAGCTTGTAGAATATGAGAAATTTGAGTGTTTTTAATTTTAGAGTGAATCATTTTTATCACAATTTACATTCTGGAACAGGTCACTTGAAATACACTATGCTTATAATAAAATGTTTTTTTAATATTTCTGGACTCTGTCTTTCATAAAATATATGCGTGTCTCTGCTGTTCATGAAATGTATTTATTCGTTCTACAGTCTATTCCATTTTTATACCTCACTATAATAATTGTTCTAACATTTCAGCTCTTAGGCCTGGAGAGTAAAGAATAAAGAATAAAGAACAGTTGCAGGATTTTGGCTAGACCAGAGGGAGAAAAAAGACTAGGGGTGACATGATAGCATTATTCCAGTATTTGGAGGCTGCTACAAAGAAAAGGTCAACTTATTTTCCAAAGAACCAGAGAACAGGACAAGAAACAATGGATGGAAAATAATCAAGGAGAGAAACAACCTGGAATTAAGGAGAAACTTCTTACCATGGTGTCCTCCAAATGTGGATTTAACTATAATTACCCAGTAACTTAGCCATATCTACTTAGATACATAAAAATTAAAGCTGACTTGATTTTGAACGAAAAGACTGGAGAAAGTAGATATAAAAATGATATATAGCTCACAGATATGTTTACCTGTTGATATCAGTTTTACAAAATATATTCATGCTCTCCATCTATAAATATTGCATGTATAAAAGAATGAACTTTATGTTTTAAACTAGAATTTAAAAGTTAAATTTAAAAGTTAAATAAATAAAATTACACCTTTTTCTTGTCAGAAAGATAGATGTGGTTATTGGAAGAATATGCATTTGGAGAAGATATTGTCAAACTTGGCAAATTCGAGATAAAATAAGTGTTTTACTATACTGCGATGACTGCTTTTGTTCCAGGGTCCACAAAACAGAATTAGCAATTATTAAGCTATCTCCCATTATCTAGGTTAGCTGAACAGCAAAGTATACCAAAGTTGATTGTGTACATTAAGTATATGTTTTCCAGCAGACAAATGAAGACTTTTATGTTACCAATAGAAAATCAGAGGAATTCAGAATTATTTTTTACAAAGATAATCCAAGTGACTTCTTAAAAAGAATTAAGACATCAGTGAAACTTTCAAATACTTTTGTAGAGATGTTTCTGGTATAGTAGATAAAAATTATAATCTTGGAATAATGAAAAGATAAATATCAAGCAATTAAATGATAGAAATGGTAGTCTTTTCACTGTAAAACCTCAGTAAATGTACACAGTATGAACAATGTTATTTAAATTATATACTACAGCTATCATCTTAGGTGTGTATCTTTGGAAAAGGACAGTAGATAAAAGCTAAGAGTGTTTTTGTGCTGTGCTTTTCATCTAGTAGTCATCTTGTTTTTGAGAATCAAATTGTTAATGCTAATTTAGATTAGAGAACTGATTAGAAAGAATATGCCTTTTTTAATGTTAAGCAAATATCAATCCAGCTGATTTTTTAGTTCACTTTTGATCTTGAAAAGCTTTACAAACATTTTAAGAAAGCAATGTGAGAAGGGTCTACTCAACATGTAAACATCCAAATGTGCTTTGTCATTTTAGGTTTGATGGTATATTTTATAAACTCCATCAAAAAGATTTCTTTGGTTAAGCAAATTGCAATTATCACAGTATATAAACTAGCCACTGACTTAACAGAAACAGATGAAACTAGTCTTGCTGAGTACAAAACAAGATATACAACTGAAAACTTTGGCTTCCCCTGAGAAGAAGAAGAATAAGGAAAGTAGAAGGAAAAGAAATAACCCATCTTGTCCTTGGAAATACTTTATATCAGTTAGAAAAAGCCCTATCCCACAGCTCTAAATATCTCAAATTCTGAGTATGCTGGGATCCAGAATCAATTTGTGTTGCTAAAATCTCTATATATCACAGTGCCTTGCCTCAGAGAAGTGCGGTAGCAATAGGAATCCTGTCTTTGTAGGGAAACAGGAGGAAAGGACTTCATTGCAGTTATGCCACTTCTATTTATGCTGCACACAGCCAAGCTTTATGAAAAGGATTAAGTGTTTCCTAATGCTTGACAATACAGGAACCATTTGTAACAAAGCTGGAAGATTATTCCAACTGTTTTGAGTCTGTAAGCTTTCAAAAACAGAGAGTTAAGCCTGCCTCCCATTGGTTCTTCTTAGCTCTAGACAACTTGAAATGAATTGACAGGTTTAAATAAAGGGCGAATCAGCTGCAGACACTTTCGGATGAACAAGAGTTGGGGAGGTCATGTTCCAAACAACAAAGATGTAAAGGTTACCAAGCTGTTAAAAATAACCTTCAGGCAAACTAAATTGGTTCTCAGTCAGTAGCTATTGCTTCTTGTTCTCCTTTTGCTTACAGATTTTCCATTCCTTATTTGGGGGAAGTTTTTATGCTAAGTAAACATATACTATATTACTCCTGTCGGAGACAGATAATCTGCAGTTTTCCTTCCTTTCTGTTTTTTAAATGTTTTCTTGGCATTGTTCTTCCATTCTCACAAGTCTGTTGGCTGTTAGCTGAGAGAACAACATGTACCCTGCTACCAGTTACACAGACAATTAAAAAAAAACATGTTTATGTGCAGTAGTGACAAAGGGTAAATTGTGAAATGGACACTCTCACCCTCCAAGCACGTGGTGGAGCTCTTTAAAAGTGAAAACCAAAGAACATTTTAATAAAAGTCAGATTTGCCTCTATACATTTGCATCTGTCAGCAGGTTGGTTTCTTAATCTGGAAAGAGTGAGATTATTTTACACAATTTTATTTGGCTTTATATAAAATGATGAGCCTTTTTTTTTTTTTTACTCTGCTGATCATTACAGAGCATTCAGCAATGGATCTATCTTCATTCTAGCATTTTCCCCTTTCTATAATTTGTTAATTAAATGCACATTTGCGCACAAATCATGTTTAATGTGTTACTGCAGCAGCCTAACATAGACTGACATTTGTATAAAACAAATCTAGGATATTTAATGTTTTTCAATGCAGATATCCTGGCCAGAAAAAAAATCCAGATGATCACTAGATGGTAGCAAAGAGAAAATGCTAACTCTGTAAAAGAGGAACAGGCAGAGCCTGGGGCTGAAATCAAGAGAGGACAAGCCTAGAGTGTCCACAAATACTACAAGTCCACCCCACTCATCCTTGAATTGTACTAACTCTTATATAGTGCCAATATAGTTTGGATCAGTAGTTGAGCTGATTCTTATGTATAGGCTTGAGCAATAAATCTTATGAACCTGAATTTATGTGAGATCCTGATTCTTCATGCCTGAATTTGGTCAATTCACTTTAAAACTTTTCACCTGACTATATAATCCAATTCTTGCAGATCTGGTTGGACGACCTTGAAAAACACCACCAGGTACTGTATCCTTGTTTGTGAGGAGGGCAGGGATCTTGAAAAATAAGGTATAATTATGGTTCCCCTACCTTTGAGAGAAGAGATTTGCATCTTTGCCACAATAATCACACACTGGGGAAGTTTTCAAAATGCTGCAATAGAACATTAAGAGACTTCTGGCTGTCTAAGATGGCAGCAGGGAACAAGCCCATGGAAGTGGAGGGGCAAGTTGGAGGGCAGGATAATGTAGACAAAGAGCAGGCAGACCATGGAGGTGGAATCAAGAGAGAACTCAGTCTAGAATCTTACATGTCTACAAATGCTCCAAGTAAAGATTCCCCTCGCATCAACTTAATGTTGACCATTAGTTGACCAGATTCTTGTGGATAGGCTTGAACAATAAATCTTCTGAACTGGAACTTACATGTGATTTTGAGCCACACTGAGGGAAGAGGAATTGTCTTGGGACACATACAAAATACATAATAATATTAATATAACAAAATTCTTTTCTGGGAACAGCTTATATATTAACAGTCTATAGTAGCATGCATCCTGCAGGCCATGGGCTGGATACGCCTGGTCTAAAGTTTTCCCATCATTGAAAAACATCATCTTTATTTCTCATCTGTTAATTTTACAGAATTTCTAAAGATTCTCATAATCATCATATACAATTTGCATCTAATGGTAAACCATTAATTATAGTTTCCTTTGAGGAACTGAGGGAAGAATATGAGCAAACAAAAGTAGCCGGTAAAGATGGTATGGAAAAAGCCTTCCTATTTTTAGAAATGGCGCTGGTTAACTA